TGGTTCGGTCCCAAAGTCTTCAAGTCGCTTTCAAGACTTTGCTCATAATATTTCAATGCCTGAGAATATTCGCCTTGATAATTGTAAACCAGTCCAATGTTGTTGTACGTTGTTGCAACACTAGGATGATCCGGTCCCAACGTCTTCAATCGAATTTCAAGAGTTTGCTCATAATATTTCAATGCCGGAGAATATTCGCCTTGATGCTGGTAGACTCCACCAATGTGGTTGTACGTTGTTGTAACACTAGGATGATTCGGTCCCAAAGTCTTCAATTGGATTTCAAGAGTTTGCGAATAATATTTCAATGCTTGAGAATATTCGCCTTGATGTGTGTACACTGCACCAATGTGGTTGTACGTTATTGCAACAGTCGGATGATTTGGTCCCAAAGTCTTCAAGTCGCTTTCAAGACTTTGCTCATAATATTTCAATGCCTGAGAATATTCGCCTTGATAATTGTAAACCACTCCAATGTTGTTGTATGTTGTTGCAACACTAGGATGATTCGGTCCCAAAGTCTTCAAGTGCATTTCAAGAGTTTGCTCATAATGTTTCAATGCCTGAAAATATTCGCCTTGATCGTTGTACACTGCACCAATGTTGTTGTACGTTGTTGCAACACTTGGATGATTCGGTCCAAAAGTCTTCAATTGGATTTCAAGTGTTTGCGCATAATATTTCAATGCCGGAAAATATTCGCCTTGATCGTTGTACACTGCACCAATGTTGTTGTACGTTGTTGCAACACTAGGATGATTCGGTCCCAAAGTCTTCAACTGGATTTGAAGACTTTGCTCATAATATTTCAATGCCTGAGAATATTCGCCTTGATAATTGTAAACCCGTCCAATGTTGTTGTACGTTGTTGCAACACTTGGATGGTTCGGTCCCAAAGTCTTCAAGTCGATTTCAAGACTTTGCTCATAATATTTCAATGCCTGAGAATATTCTCCTTGATCGTTGTACACTCCACCAATGTTCTTGTACGTTGCTGCAACACGTGGGTGATTCGGTCGCAAAGTCTTCAAGTCGATTTCAAGAGTTTGCTCATAATATTTCAATGCCTGAGAATATTCGCCTTGAGCATTGTACACTCTACCAATGTTGTTGTAGGTTGTTGCAACACTTGGATGGTTCGGTCCCAAAGTCTTCAATTGGATTTCAAGACTTTGCTCATAATATTGCAATGCCTGAGAATATTCGCCATGACCATTGTACACTGTACCAATGATGTTGTAAAATGTGCCCATAGCAGGGTCATTAGGCAACGTAGCATTTATCAATCTTCTGAGATACCGTTCAGCTTTAGCGTATTCACCCATTTCTCTTAATAGGTATCCTAACGTGTATAAATCAGATGACCGATCAGTTTCTTCTCTTATCTGTTCACTCAGCACTTTCAACTGTTCATCGCTTTCACTGTTCAACAACAATTTTACACTCCAGATTCCCGTGGCACTTGCTTTTTCGACAGATTTTATACGAAATATGGTCCCTATGGAAAAAAGTACTTCATCTTCGTGGTTCATAACACTGAATTCTTTTATATTAGCGTAAGGCTTGGTGTCAATACTCGTATTAACCTGTATTTCAAACAGAATAGATTCAAGAATGGGAGAGAACGAACCGTCACCAGCATGGATTAAAGCTACACCTTTCTCACATGTTGTTGACAGGAAAGTATTCATTGAAATTAGTCCACCAATATTGTCTTTTAGTTCATGTAGTTCATCAGCTTTTAAATGCTGTCCTCGATACACCGTTAGAAAGTATTCGCCATGTGTGAAACGTTCCATGAATTTCGAATATTCTCTTTGCAATTGTCGATAAAGATCAGCAATCAAAAATCGAAATTTAAATATAATATCAATATCTCTTGTTCGAAGAGCTTTATTTAAAAGGCGATATACAAATGAATCACGCGTGTACCACCACACGGCTGCATCAGACGAATAATTCAAACGAAATTCATTTATCTTTTCGAGTTCTTTATCATTGTCTCTGTAATACGATTCACATTCAGTTAACATTTCCATTTTCGATTCGTCAGATGTTGGCATGCGAAGTAGAACATCAATTATCAATTGATTCCACATAAATACAGCGCTTTCTTTGTCTAAATCACGAATTGATTTTTCATGATGCGACAAACTGAATACATTCATTGGCATCATGTCGTTTGATAAAACTTTAGCATCCTCAGCTATCTGAATAAGAAGAGAGTCTTTATGAGTAAAAACACCACGAATTTTATTTTGATTATTTAGTAGATGATTAGCCCATGTTTCGTGCTTAATTTTGTTTAGACAAAATATGTAGATAAATGTAATTTGAGATAGTTCGAAAATGAGAGGGGCGATGATTTCACCGAATGAACCAGATAGAATTAGCAACACTTGCTCCATTTTAATTGATGAGATATAATCCATACATTCATCAGCATCACAAAACGTTCTTAAATGATTAGCAATGGTTCTTAAACGCTTTTTTGTGTCGTGGCAATCATCTGTTTTATCGATATCAGCGTCAAGCCAAACAACAGTAAAATTTTCAAGATTGTGGTTGTTATCGTGGAACAGATGTGTCGCTGGTTCTCGAGGGAACATCGTTGTCGTTACCTAGAGTGTAAAACGAGAACTGCTGAAGGATTGTTGTGACATTTCCAACATATTTTTGAGAATATGCTATTTACTTAAATCTTTATCACATTGCTTGTACATCTTTCAATCATGATGTGCTGAGGAAAAGATCTGTGTGGTAGAGGATGTGAAGCTGACTCTCAGTATAAGCGATTTATTATGGCGATCTCATTGTGAATGAAATTCAGTGTGTCCTAAACCAATAATCAAGTTAACCGTTGAATTTAGTCGGGAAGTGAGCGACACCCTAGTAGAACTTCTTGATCCAAGAAGCTGCAAGAAAGCAAGAAAAGAACAAGAAAGTGGGATACTTCTTGCTTTTATCCGCAGAGGTAGATCCACACTTATTCTCCAGTTCTTAAAAAGATTAAGACGTAGTAAAACGTCAACCACATGGATCCGAAAACCTTCCTAGTGTGCCACTATATGAATCGATATAAAATTTCCTTCATGTCATCTATAGATGCCTTACGACATTCAAGAGGTTAAACCAGATCTAATGGATAAAAATATTAATTGTTGTAACAAAATTCTGTTCAAATCTAGGATGTGTAAAATCTACGAATGTTAAGATCTGTATTGATGTCTAATTTAAAAGATAATTCAGTTATATCTCGTTTTCTGCATCTTTTGTTTTTTAGACTTAGACGTGTATTTGACAACGAAAAAGTAAAACGAACCAATACAGTAAACTAAAATCGAAAGAGGTTGTAGCAGGGAAGAAGAACCAGAAAAAGCACATACTGCTCTCGTTAGACTGTGACCCTTCTAATCTCGACAAAGAAAACAAACAAAAAGAACGAGAGAAAGAGAAAGTATTAAAGTTCTAAGCTCTAAGCTAAGAAGTCCTCTGGCCTGTGCCTGAACATTTTTTGAATTTATGCTGTTAGCTGTAACAACGTACTCTGGTAAGCCATTCCACTCAATTGCTGTTCAGTGAAAAAAGGAATACATAGGTCTTAAAAATATTTGCCCCCCTAACTCCTCTAGAATGATTTAGCCTGCCAGAATACCTTTTGATTTTATATTGAATAAGAGTGAGATCCGAAAGAATGCAATGATTGTTGAGAATCTTATAAAAAGAATCTTGTTTGATTAATCTCATTTTGAGAAACATATGATAAAGAAGGAGTATAGGCGGTACCGACGAGCTCAATCTCAGCCTTCCATTAGCTTAAAACATGCACTTACTCAAGATAAAAAGCTTTAGCTGTTCACATCAGACTTTCTATCCCTCTTCGAAAAAAAAAACACTGCCAAAGAACTAAACAACTTAAGTAACTTAATGCATGATCTTTATATTATCTATTAGAAATTTATTCTGTCATCATCGTATAGCAAATCGTAATATATTTCATCTTTTATTTTCAGATATCGACAATTTTTATCTCAAGTAAACCATAAAAGTTTTCGTCAATTATTTCAAATGTCTAACAAATCATCTGCTGTTGCTGATCAAGCTAAAAACTTAATCAAACATAATACGGTTGTGGTATTTTCAAAAACAGCCTGTCCTTATTGTGTAAAAGATAATGTGATTATGGATGGTGTTGTAACTAAAAGTAGTCAAATTTTATTTTCTCTTTTAGCAAAGAAAGTTTGATCAAAATATAGATTAAAAAGTTATGAAGTTATTGAATTAGATCAAATAGATGATGGTAATTCGTATCAACAAGTATTAGGTGAAATTACATCAGCGCGCTCAGTTCCCCGCATATTTGTCGCTGGTAAATGTATTGGTGGTGGAGATGATACAAAAGCTTTGGATAAAAAAGGAGAATTAGAAAAAATGTTAAAAAAGGCAGATGCTATTCAAGATTAAATCTGAAATCTCTACATACTTTTACGTTAGCACTGTTCTTATGCATGATTACCAGATTTATGTGTAACATGATGTAAACTATCTTTTAAAATGAATGAATCATAATACAAGTATAAGGTGTTAAAATTATTGATGTATTTCAAACATGATTTAAGATAATGTGTATGGTTTAATGCGAAACTATTTTTCGAACAGAAATGGCTATACTCTAAAAAAAAACGTATTCTTTGTGTTTTCAAAGAACTAGTTGAAGATCATTTAAATTCTTTGAAATATGAAGAACTTGATTTTATTTTTCAGTAGACGATGAGTTTTTCAATCATTTCAGTTTTTCAGCTCATTTTAGTTCTTCAGAAATTTTGTTTTTCAAGTTTTGGAAAACACAATATTTCTATTAAGTTCTTTAAAGATCTCCAAGTTTAAAAAGGAAACGAAAATCACATATGTCCATCACCGATTTTGTTTTGCAATTCCTGATATATATATATAAGAGACATGCTTTTTTCTTACAGAAACTTAAACTTATTCTTACAAATATCTCTTTATATAACAACAACGTGCACGCTTCGAGAACATATTTGTTCTTGACAACAGGGTTCTAAAATTCGACTCGAACCCTGTGAGTCGAGTACATACGGCGTCTGAAACCTGATTTGATCCGGATGGAATCAGAGTCCAAACGTTGGTCGAGCTAGGATGTGGGTTACATAGCTTTCTTCACTCATACAGGTCTCCAGCTGACAGTATTCATACAGTATGAACGATACGTCGGCAGTTGATCACAGGTATAGTATTGAAAGTGGGCTGACGACAAGAAGGAATAAGATTCAGCATTTTGAAAAAAGACGAAGAACAGAAAATGTGTTTTTTGACCTAATATTTCTGGAAAACAAATGTCCCAAATAGGGATCTGAAAAAACTCAATTTCTGTTCTTTCGGAAAATGAAAAAAATTAGTTTTGCAAATTTTCGGAAAAAGTCACATTTGTGAGATACCGTCCAAATGATCATAACTCTATCAAAAAACATAATGAAGAGCTGGGAGACATCTCATTTTGTAGAGAAATCTTTACTTTATAAGCCTGACTGTTTCAAAAGTTTATCAACTACTGAATGGAAGAGAAGGTTTTTTTCAGCGTAAAGTAACAAACTTTAAAAAAGTTGTATCTCCTCAACGGAAGGTCTTGGAAAGCTGGAAGCGGCCTTACTTTGTAGAGGACACCTTACTCTATAATGCAGAACATTTAACTCAAAAATAAAAAAAATTTCTAAAAGAGTCTAAAAAGAGAGGGGTTACCTTTAATTTTCTCTCACGGTACGCAACAGAATTTGATAATATATACACCACTAGATAGCGGAAATCTTCTTCTACAAACCTACATATATCCCGTTTTGTGGTCAAAACATCATAGTCGCCTATGTCAACGGCCGATGGTTTTTGAAATTCTAACTTAACCGCTGGCAACAGAATTTCAAAAACCGTCAGCCGTTGACATATTTCATATATCTTTCATATTTCTATTCATACTTCTTCTTGTATATATTTTCTTTATATTCTTTTTCTTGTCTGTCCACTAATGAATTTGCAATAACGCTGAAACTAAACTAATTACTTTGCTATTAAATTGCTATATAGAGTGATGTAAAATGTTACTTTTTAAGGTATTAGAAACCAAACCTAGTACATCATTCCAAAGATCTGATGATAGAGAGTACTGAGGATTAATAATTGAAGATTGTTGAAAATTTGATACTATCGAAGGTACTGATGAAATAGTAGCAGATGTTGCGCATTTCACATCATACAATTTAAATTTTAGGCTATTCAAATTTGTATACTTCACCAATTACTTCTGTTTCTCCTCTAACAACATACTCAACTAATTACTCATATCTGCATCCTACTACTTCGTCAGTTAATAATTACCCCTGTTCTGATCCAAATTCTTATCCACCATATAACTCATCGCCGTGTGATCCTTATACTTATGTAATCCCTACCCAAGTTCCAAATTGTTTTAAATGCCGCTATCAATCTTCTCATCTAATACCGTACACATCATGTATAAGATATATTTGCAGAGCTTGTGTAACACCTGATTCATCACATTCATACACATGTATATTTTGTACAGTCAAACAGTCAAACATGTTCCTCACTGATTTTTGAATAAAGTCTTTTCAATTCACTTCATTCTTTGCTAAACGTGATCTGAATTTCACGACGGCATTTTCAGGTCATTGAATCAAATGCTACATAATTCGAGTAAAACTTTATGTCATCAAATTTTTCTTTTACTCAAAAGGTAGAAGGGTATCTGGAGAATATGAAAAGTTCAACACTTTTTTAATTACACAATTGTTATAGGTACCACCTCAATTGGACTGTCAAAAATCAGGTACAAAAATGTGCTAAAATTCAGCAAAACTCATCAGATGGCTACAAATCGCTAGAATCAAGCGATCTTGTTCCAGTTTTTATTTCATATAATAGAGAACAATCTCGTCTATAACTTTTCTATTTGCCATTGATGTAAAACCGGTCTCTGTAGGTCGATGGAATTTAAACCAAGGGGAAAAAACCTCACTTTAAGTGCCTTTAAGGGTGTGCACCTCAGAGTTAAGTGTCACCTAAGTGTTTAAGTTCTGAAGTGTCACTTAAGTGATTAAGTGTCATTTCAAATTCCGCATCTTCCTGGAAAGTCAAGAATTCAACCCTATATTCCCGAAATATACAATGTATGGACTGCGGCTGTTTCGCGTCATACGAGTCTGTTTGTCTTCATCATTTTAATGAACAAAGTTAGAAGAAAATGTTAGTAAAAAACCGAAAACTATTTCTAGACCGTAACTATTTCTTTCAATGTAGATCAGCCGGTTAGTGACAAGACAATAGTTATTTTTCTCTTTCTTTTTACTGTTGTTAATTCACTATGTTTAGACGGGCGATGGGTTTATCACAGTCTTTCTCTTTCTCTATTACTAATCGTTCGTTCAGTTATGGGTGCTGCTCCCTCGAAATAACGTCATCGAGTAAAGTCTCTATCTTATTCTTTCATCTGTTTTCTCTCTTTTCTTCTTATACATAATTCTGATAATTTTACTTGAGAAGAATAAAATGGACAGGTATTTAAAAGAGAACGAAATTTGTATATAGCGAAGAACGGTTCGGTATTTAAATTAAAATTTGAAATTAAAAGAGAACGGAAATAAAAAGTAAGAAAAGATTTTTTCACGGTTTTTTCACTGAAACGAGAACGGTTTTTAATTTTAGCCAAAAACGACTGAAAAGAGAACGGTCATGTAATTAAAGGAGAGAACGGAAGGTAAATCTACTTTTAAGTTTACTTTATTGACTTCTAGTAAAGATGAACATCAAAAATTCTCTTATATATGTACAGTAAAACGTCTTCATCATCTTATTGTACACACCAGCTTCTCAAATCTTCTAATGAAAATGAACCTGGACAATTTTTGCATCGATAGTAGCCAACCAAACTTCGAACCTGTTTTGGGGTTGTAGCTTGATGATGATCGATTGTTACTGCACGTCGTATCAGAGTCTCAGAAAGACCGGCTGCTACATAAGTTTTTACGTTACCTTGAATAGGAGATGATACACGTGTTGCTGATGCTCTGTTATTATGATTATGCTCACCACGCTTCAAGATTTCAAATCTTTTATCGTTGTCCATGCTGATTTGATAGACACTGATAAACACTTTATGAAATATTATAAGAAACAATCTCGACTTGCACTGACAAGCCATCCAGGAGCAGAAGTTCCATCATTGCACAATCCATCCTCTCTTCATGTTTATGTTCTAAATCTTTCAAACATCAACAGTTGACCGTTCTCTTTTAAATGTTTTTAAACTAAACTAAAAACCGTTCTCTTTTCAGTGCCGTTCTCCAAAAAATACAAACATAATTTTCCGTTATCCATTCTATGAAAATTCCGTTCTCTTTTAACGTTTTATTCGAAAAAACTAGTTGAAACAAACTCGAACGTTTAAAGCTGAACAGGGCAATTATCAAGGAAGCATATTAGTCAGGCGTTGGCCTAACAGCCCCGGCTTAATAGCCCTACCACATGCATGTGCATCAGAATGTGCACGAGAAAAAGCATCTCATACCTCTAACCTTCTTTTTATAAAGCAACATAAACATTCAATATCATTTAATTTATGGGTAGCAAAAACCTAAATGAGTTCTGTTTTCTTACACATAACGAGGAAAAATTAGCAATCACTACTGCTCAAATCTTGTTCAAAACAGAAAAATAAACGTGGCACTTAAAGTGACTGTCACTTATAAGTGTGTGCACTCTTTTATGAGGTCATTTCCCCCTTGATTTAAACTCTGACTTTTCCGTGCAAATCACACGGACGGGACCATAATTACCCCATGAAAAATAGCTGAGTGACCATAATTACTCGACTTTCTTTCGAAAAACACACATTCTCGTAGTTTCTAATTAATTAATTAACAGCAAGCACAAATAACACGCAATTTATACAGGTGATAGAGCTTGAAATTCTCTACAAGATGATATAATTTTTAATCGTTTTCCTTGAAATCTCCCGTTGAAACTAAGTTAAGTTAAGATTATCACAGCCATTTTTCTGTATTGACCATAATTACCCCAACGGTACATGTTGACTGACCATACCGTCAATCGAAAGGTACTCTCTGGAAATTGATTAGTACTAATTAACGCTAATGAATTTTAAGAAAATTTTTACATCAATCGATAGTCAGAAGTCATCGCTATTTACCTATAAAATATCGCTTTTCTCGGATAAAAACTGAGCCAACTAAACGGACAGTTTCGCATATATCTACTAGTCAAAAACGTCTTATGTGGTTAATAACAATGAGATTTATTCTACTCCAGACTTTCACCCTAATGATCCGAATTTATTTTTACATCTTCCTGAGTCTTTTCTGTAACACTTTTTTTCCTCTTAACGTGGTTGTGTGTACATGGGTGTATGGAAG